TTGAGGATCTATATCAGATCATGGTTTTATCATGTGCTATCATTATTTTGACCAGAAATGAAATATGGTTTTAAAGAACCCAGTTCAGGTAAGAAGAAAAAAGAAGAGAAACAAGATCAAAGCATATTGAAATACGTGAAAGCTGTCAGGGAAAAGGGAAATTAGTTAAAATCATTGTATTTTTGTGAGAAGCAATATGAATGCAAAGTCTGTTTTGTAGCTAGATGTTCTTTCTTATATAATGAATGCGTCTGTGAATAAGGTTTCTGAATTGACTGCTTATACGGTAAGTGTTACAATTTAGGTAATTGTCATAATCATGGCCTATGTTCTGGGTTGCTTTCCAGTACCCCTGCATTTTCTTTCCATTGTACCTAGAGATGCAAATTTTGGGGATGTGTTTTTTGTAGCCAGCTGCCCCTATTAATGAAAATAATCTATACTAGGTGGGGATTAAATATTAAATTAATCTCTATAAGAGAGAAATCAAATATTTCCTTTGAAGCCCCTTAGTGTGATGTTTCAAAGCAATGTTGTGATGTATGTAAATCATAAGCTATAAAGGAGTTTGGAGGACTTAATTTAATGCTCTACATTCAGAAAATCTTTCACAAAATTATCATAGAAAGATAAAAATATAAGCTATTTAAAGTTTTAGATCTGCAGAGAGAATATTTCTTAGCTTTTCTCTATATGTGTTCTAATGTTAATGACATTCATTGAGCGTAACATTTTCCTTATCTTTATTCTAATTTTCTACTTCTGCCTCATAAGATTATTTCTTTAGTTATCAACTGTCATTATCTACTGATACATACTTGAGCTGTCATCCTAGCCAAGACTAGTTGCTTCCTTTAGACTCTGTGGTATGTATCTATGCTGCTGAGAGGAGGCAATATAACACAGTAGGCCCTGCAGTTAGCCTGCTAGAGTTCAAAATCCTGACTGTGCGAACTTGTGGGCAAAAGCACTTAGCCTTTTAGATCTCAGTTTCTCATTTTGTAAAAGGGAGATAATAAGCATATAGCTCTTAAGATTGTTTAGTACTAAGTGGGGTGTTGTTTGCAAAAAACAACAACAAAAAAAAGATGCTTTGCGGTAGATTGCAAGTTCTCAATAAAATTAGCCAACATAGTCACTCCTTCTTTTCATTCTATGACAATTTGTTTCTGACAAAATGAGGATTCATGGGCCCATAAAATCTTCAACTTCAAACTAAATTTTCCCTGGTTGTTTTTCAGTTTTGTTATTTTAATAATCTGACTCTATATCATGTTATACGGACCAGGAAAGAACTATAAATATTTGAACAGATCTCAGCCGCATACTTCAAATTGTTTTTGGAAAGCTGAAAATACTTAATATTTTGAGACTATCCAATGACTGGAGTACCAGATACACCACTGATCGTCACCTGACCATCTGTGTTAAAGATTTTACTTTCTGTTACAATACAAGTCATTGTGTGAAGCAAGTGGAATCCATTATCACTGACTATATCACTGCGTAATAAAAATGACTGGTTTTTCCTTTTAGACCTCATTCCCTTTATGCATGTGATGTACAGTAATTATTCTCTTGCTGGCACTTTTTTGCTACTGGAGATTGAACCCAGGGCCTTTATAATGAGTTGCTTGCCTGGGCCTTGTTACTATTATTTTTTCTTAAGTTTGAGATACAGACTCACTAAGTTACTGAGTTGCTGGGTTTGAACTTGCAATCCTCCTGCCTCAGTTTCCCAGAGCACTGGAGTTACACATGTACACCACCATACCCAGTTGTCTCAGCTTTTGACAGAACATAGATTTCGTTCTCTTGATCTCTGAAAGTCAGGATGGCTTTCTAAACTTTGTGTGGGGTAGTTTTTTAAAACTCATCATCTATCAATGTTTATCATTTATTTTTTTTTTGTGTTTGTCAATTTGTTCTATAAACTCTGTACAACTTTCTGTGCAATGATGGTGCCCCAGAGAACAGGTGTTTTCCAATTTGGGCCTGACCAATGGTGTTGCGAACTGCCACCCCTGAAAAATCACCTTGCTTGTTTTACATGATATGTCTATTAATGCAATCCAATACAGCATTTGCCTTTTGGTGACAGTGTTATACTGTTGAATCATATTCAATTTTTCATCCGTTATTTCTTCCCTAGTGAATCATAGAACACTTGTCTTTATTAGCTCTTACAGTATTGATTTCCACCTTTCCCTTCTTCTATTGATACTAAACCACATTTTAATCATATCTTCCAAACTCAATTCTGTGTCTTAACATAAAAAAAATCCAAGTGGGAAAAAATTTTAATCAATTTAAGAAAACAATATTCAGTTACAGTATGTAGTGAGGTACTGGGTATTCAAAATGCTGGGAGATAGTATGAAGAGCTGAATAAGTGTTTGACATTAGTCTGCTATTGCCTGAAAGAGGGGTTTGCAAATCTAAATTACCAGTGACAGTGGTTAGGCTAATGCACCAGGAAAAACCAAGTGAGGATTTTATGCTTCTAAGGTCTACAAATAGGGGCAGAACTATGCCTAGCACTCACTAGCCTTAGTTGAATTATCTACTGTATTTAGAGATTTATTCTACAAGTGATCTTGAGTAGGATATTTTTATTCTTCTTATGATTTAAAAACATATTCCCAGGTTGTATGTGTATAAGGGGATGATTATGATATATATCTTCAGTCAGTTAAGTGTTGTAGCTATTTAATAATTATAGAATATAATATGTTTTCAAAATAGAAGCACAAAGTTGTATGATATACCGGGTATCATTTCCTTGTAGTCTGTGTACTTTTTAAAATAATTCTCTTTGCAATTTTAATGAAATAGTTGAATGCTATTTGTAACTTGGTCATTAGAATCTCTCAAAGTTAGCTTTCATGGAAAACATTTTATTTTTAAAAAAATTACTAAAATATTAAATAACTGACCAAGCTCTAAACTAGAGTTAGGAGTTTGCTTTGCATAGAAACAAAGCATTAGAAAGTCTCATGACAGAATTCTCCAGCAGGTCAGGTGCGTTTGACTTGTGACTTTTCCTTTCTGTGTGGCCTCATTTGTTTCTGGACTTTAAAGGGGTATTTCAGTCACAGTAGCACTAAGAAATTCATCATGACTTTTAAGGGAAAAAAGTAAAAATGACAGCTCTTTATTTTTAAATGATCAACTGCATTGTCCTTGCTATGTTTGTTGAGACTGACTGCAAGAGCAGTCACTAAAAGGAACATTAGTTGTATCTACTCCAGCTGTGAGGATTTTTCCAATAGGAAAAGCCTAATTTAACTTAGTCCTCCATTTTTGATACTGAAATTCATGGACCTCTGCAATAATCTCAGGTGGGCTCAGTCAGGTGTGCTGGCTGGCTGGATCGTTGCACACACTAACAATGGCTCACAGGGCTGGGGCAGCACAGCCAGACTGTGATTCATGCATGGAAACATGAAGCAAAGTCTCTGTCTGTTATTTTTTTAGCATAATTTACTGTGCAGCTTAAACTCTGGACCTGTTTAATGGTCCTAGCGGCAGAGTTTCTAGGCCAACAACTAAATCTGCTGCAGTGTTCTGCATTTGTAGACAAGCCTTATGATTTACAAAATTTAATAAGTTGGTCCCCAGTGACTCTTTCTTCCGGAAGATTCTGCTTTTATAATCTCAGCCAAGAAGGTTGTCAAAGGAGCATATATACCCATTGGCTTAATGAAGACTTACTTTTTTCTCACAGAAGCATATAAATAGAATCCGACTATTGTTAATTCATTACAATGAATACATTCTGGAGGATTCCCCTTGCTGGAGATGGTAATACATTAGTGATGGTTTTGCATTGCTTTATTTCTTCAGAAGTATTTTTGAAAGTGTCTGCCAAACAGGAAGTAGCAAGGTCAGATGACTTGAAGGTTTCTCATCTTTACCCTGATGCTTAAAGTTTGTCATAAGTTGAAGTCCCTTGTCACAATTTGAAAGTTCACTTTTTGTATTGAGGAAAGATGCAGTGTATTATTTTGGGTTCTTTGTTTGTTTTCTAAGGTAAAACTGTTTAGCAGCTTTGCCTAAGAGGTTACTGTTACATCGGGCTGGGTTGTATTGCTTTGTTACATAAAGCTGGCACTTTGATTAAAAAGGGAGGATGGGAAAGACATGATTAAAAAAAGATGACTGTTTGAGGTAAAATCTGATTTTCAAGTAGAGAAAATTAAAGAGGCACTGGAATTATTGCCCATGATATGATATTGCTAAACAAGAGGCCTGAAAAAAAAATCCACAAGCTGATCTACCTGGAACACCTGCTTCATTAATAATCTCTTAGTAACTGACACACCTGGTAGTGTTATTTGTTATTAAATAAAATGATGCTATTCATTAAATATGAATTAGATAACTCCGAGGTTGCCCTTCTGAAAGGATATTGTTTCTGTTGAGAGTATGTACAAAAATACTGTTTTAGGTTTATTCACCCTTTCTTTTAAAGATAAATTTCCTGATACCAAAATAACTACATACCCCAAATCTTTAAATCAGTTTCTTTTCTGTATCCTGTTTCCTGCCTACCATTGTTTTTTGTCTTTTATTTCTCCTAATCAAACTCTTATTTTCTCTATTACACGATTCAAGTTGATGTAGATAAGTTCTGCAGCTTTTTTTATATTAGATGCAGTCCTGGGGGAATAGTATCTTATTACAGATGTACACATTGCACACTGTTTGGGAAGGCTGACTTAAATATCATGATAAATGTGAGGAAAATGGATGTATTCTATTATCATACCTGCCTGCTCCATTTTCTTTCCACTATAGGGTTTTCATGGGTGCATAGCAAAGCAAATTGCAATCACCTGGCTATTTTCCACTCTGGATCTGTCATCCTGAATGATAAATGTATTTATTCTTTAGCAGAAAATTAGTATATCCGTACATCTATCTTTAGGTATACACATAGATCTTTCTATATGTATGGGCAAATGATAAGCAGCAACTAAAGAGAACATGTTGAAAATTTTTTTATGGGATCAATGAAAAAATGTTTTATGTTCACATTTTCACATTTAAGGCCTGGCATAAGACAGCTTTTAAGGTCAACCAGAAGGGAAGATTTTATTCTTCTAAGCATCTAGCAACAGTGCTTGGAAGAGCAGTCAGCTCTAGCATAGCTTAATATGCCTTCTCCGTGAAGAGAATGCCTCTCTGACATCATGTCTCAACTTGTGCTTCCACTGAAGATTTTCAGGTGGTCTGTGTCTTACTTCATTGATTTCTTTTATCATTTTAGTCTCAAGCAGTTTCAAATCCTTTTTTCCTCCTGCGCTCTAGAAACAAGGAGAATAAAAACTCATAAAAATTATGTCTTTGTCTGGCATTTCCTTTCTACATAGAAAATAAGGAGCAGGTGTGGCCCCGCAGATGGTAGGCAGCCCTGTTCCACGATCTGCTGGATCTGGAGGTCACCTGTGATCGGACTACAGCATGGCTTTTGAGGATTAAACATAAGGCCTGACAAATCCAGCTGAGGGAGGGTGGAGTTATTGGGTCATGTTTCTCACCAGTAGGGGCTGCTGCACCATCGTAACAGTTCGGCACGTTTCTCCATCCGGGTGATCCAAAACAGAAAGGGTGAGAAGCCAGTTCTACTAAGGAAAGAGATTTGGGGAAGGGGAAATGACAGGAAATAATGAATACAACTAAAATCAGTCATGGAAATAAAGGAAGCTTTTAAAGAGTTTTACCAGAACTGTACATATCGGTACAGATGCAGACATGGTGTGAGTGAAATATATAATACAAAATGCTTGGGAAAGAAGCAAGAAGTATTAGTGGAGATCAAGAGTAGTACAACTTAAATCTAACTTAAGAAAATCAAGGATGAAAAAATATTTTTGGAAATACAAACACAACAGTTAAGAATGTGGAGAAATGATTTTCACCTCATCCTTATCCTTTTCTCCAAAGATAAACAATGTACCTTGACATTGCAGTGCATTTTTTTTTTTTTCCTGAGGAGGTCCCTGTTCAGAGAAATGAATCAAACATTCACGTACTTCTCTCACTGTTTATTTCTTTAAGACAGTTTTCTGTGAGTTGCGGCTCTCAAGATATATGAAAGTTGCACAGATGAGTAGCACAAGTATATGTTTGCTGAAGAGAGTTATCTGGAATATATGGACTCATACTGGTATATCATTTTAGAATCTATATTTTAGAGTGCAAACTACATTTTCTTATAGTGGAATTTTTTCTTCTGTGCATGGAATACTGTGAACTGTGACTACATAGACGTATTCCTGGAGTATCTTCTCTTCCCAGAATTTCAGAGCTGAGAGAAGGTATGAAAAACACCAAGATTTCTTTATTGATCATTCATCATACAATACTAGGAGAGAATTAGTCCCTAGATTTTCATTTTATATTAAACCCAGAGGAGATTTATTTATTTAAACAGAACCAGCCTTTACAAAAAACAGTAAATTCTTTTGTTCTGGTAATAAAAGAAGTGGAAGGAAAGTATATTTAGAATGAAGAAACTAGACCACCTGTTGACAGAATCCCATGAGGGAAGACTGCCTATAATAGAAATGCATTTGCTCTATCCAGCAGGTCAGGAATATCAGCTAAAATGTCATGCTAAATAAAGGAAAGGAAATGGAAGAAATTGTTGAGTTTAGCTTTGTATAAACACTGCAAACACTTATGTATGCATTGGATTTTCTGATATCTAATTTAAATGAGTATTGATCAGAATTCTTTTAAAATGGCATTTGGTAACTTGAAAGTAGTCCAGAAAGTCTTTATGAAATGATATGTTATCATTCCTTCCAGGTATGAACAGGGATTACCTGAAAAACTGCCTGAAAGCTAATGCATGAGTGAATCAGGTTATAAAATTGATAGCATCTGTGAAAGTCTTCAAGAATTCGGTTCACTTTGATAAAACTTATTTAGCATCTACTGAGTGTCAGATACTATGTTAGGAATTAGCAATCATTAGAGGAATGAGTGCTTTTGTCCTCAAGGAAGTTGAGAGACTGATGAAAAAGAGAAGAGTGTATTATAAACAATGGGAAAACCAAGAAGATATTCCCATAGTGCTACAGAGCTTCTGGGAGTGGTTAGTATGTGAGGGGTTTGTGTGCATTTTGGGCATCAAGGAGTGTTGTTTGAGACTTAGACTGGAGAGTCAAGGCAGCCTATGTGGAAAAGATGATGACTGAGTTGATTTTCAAGAATTAATAACAATTAACTAAAGAAATAGGGTTGAAATGATCTAAAGGGATTACAGTGCATGATCTGTTACCTTAATTTTAAAAACCCATTTCACATATAAGACTCTATGTCTTAACTTTCAGAACCTTTGATTTTAATCCCTCTAAGGGCAGCCAGATACTTCAAAGAGTAGAATTTAATCTTTCAATGAATGTAGTCAACAAATTCTCCTGTTACCTTATTTTAATGAGAGAGATATCAGTTTATTCATTGACAATTAACTCATTAGCATCTGCTATATGCCAGGCACTGTTCTTGGAATTGACTATATATTTTAATGACTGGGATTAGAGATGTGAGTAAAAGACTTTGTCTGCCTTCATCAATCTTATATCCCATTACACAGATTTAAGCCAAATCTATGACAACAGTTTTTCTAGTTTATAATACATTCTTACATGTATGGCTTTATTTATTTTTTACAACATTCCTGTGAGGTGGTGACCCTATCTGCTTTGTTCCTGTTCTTTGAGGCAATGTGACTCTCCAGCACAACCATGAATTACACAATGAATCATTAAATGTGAAGAAAAGGACCCCAGGACCACCTCTTCACTACCCTGACCTCAATATAATCCTCAACTCGGGGCTTTTCAACTTTAAGATGAACCTTATCTGTGGTCCCTTGATCAAGCATAATAGGTCAAATTCAATAAATATTTGCTGATAATATGGGCCAAGACCTGTTTAACATTAGGGATCTACTTCAGGGAGATTGCTGTGTGAGTCAGGAAGGAATACTGTCATATAATCTCAAATAAATGTCTAATTAAACACTGTGTGTCTTTGTCTGCTTTGTGCTAGTTTAGCAAAATACCAGAGACTGGGTAATTCATTATAAATATCAGACATTTATTACCACTTTGGAGACTAGAAGCTTATAATGAAGAGTCCCATATCTGGTAAGGGCCTTCAGCATTCTGCAGCAAAAGACAGAGGCAGGAGAATGGGAGAGGGCAAGAGAGAAAGTGATACAGCTAGCAGCTTCAATCCCTTTATAACAGAGGCAAGGGCTTCATGCCTGAAATACCTCCCATTACGGTACACCTCCCCAAACTTTTGCACTGGAGGTTAAGTTTCCAAAGCAGCTTCTAGGCTGACACACATTTAAACCATAGCATTGTAAAAAAAACCGTAAAGGAAAGGCACATTGTGCTCTGAGGAGATATAATGGGTGTGAGAGAGAAAGACAGAAATTCACTCCAGCCAGAAGAAATAAAGTGAACAAGGGACAGAGGCACAAAGAAGGAGTGTTGGTGTAGCCTGTGTTGAACAACCCAAGGAAAAATGTATGAGAGGGCAATGAAATTGGAGAGGCCAACAGGGACCAGATCATGAAGGGCCTGGCAGAATTTTAAAAGCCACTGGGAAGACAAGACAAGATTTGAAGTACTATGAGGGTTGTAGCATAAAAGAACAAATTGAAAGGAATCAAGAATAAATGTAGAAAGACCAGCTAAGGATTAAGTATAGCAATGCGGGGAAAGATCATAATAGCTGGACTAGGGTGGTGGTTGCAGGGAGGCAGAAAAATGAATGAAAATCAGAGATAATTCAGGACTTAAAATCTCTGAGCTCATAGATAAATTGGATACAGAAGATAAAGTTTACTTATAAATTTCCGAAGTATGTAAAGTATATCACTGAGAGAAGGAACAGTATAAAAACAGACTGTGGGGAGAAAAGAATTTCAGTTCATTTGGGAACATGATGAGTTTAAAAAAAATTTTATGCCAAAGATATTTTAAAGAGGAAAGCTAAGTTTGTGGGACAGTTGACCAAAGAAGAGGAAAGGGGTGAGCGTCTACCTTCAGAGTCATTAATATATGCACCATCCCTGAAGCTACTGCTATGGAAAATATCACTGAGAGAAAGAGGAGGCTGAGAAAGGGTCTTGAAAGTGATGCAATTGGAAGAATGATTTAGACGAAAATAAAACAGCAGGGCACAGGACAATGTAGGATTTGTCACTCGAACTGAGGAAAGAGTTTCTGGAATGGGGGTGTGGTCAATCCCAGGAGCGATTCTCAGTGTTTTGGTTTGTATCTAGATGCCCCCTCCAGCCTCCTCTGGTCATAGGTGGGGCCTTTCAGAAGTTGCTGGATCCAGGGTGTGTATTAGTGGGATTAAGGATGTGATGCTGGGATTAATGGTGTGATGCTAGCATTAAGGGTGCTCTACCCTTGTGTGAGAGCTGCCTGTCCCAAGGAGGGCTATCCTGGATTGTATATAAAGAACAGAAAGAGGACTGATGTTGTCACTTGCTACTTGTTGCTTTTGTTGCCTTTTGCTTTCTGCCTTCCATGCCATGCACTGTTTTTTCTCCTCTGCAGTGCCTCTCTGCCATGCCACCTTGCCTCGGGGCCAGCTAACTATAGACTGAAACCTCTATAAACTGTGAGCCAAAATAAACCCTCCCTCCTTTAACTTTGGGTGTCAGATATTTTGTCTCAACAATGAGGAAAAGCAGCTCACACACTAAGATATCAAGCAGGGTGAAAACTGAAATTGTCAGCTGCATCAGGCCTGAAGTGGGTGACAAAAATGAGAAACCAGAAGCATTTCATTGCCTGAGAAGCCAAGGCAAGTTGGAGAGGGCCAGAGAAGCCAATGGCTACCTAGAAACCAATAAGCCTGGACCTCTGTATTGAGAAATCTAGCTTGGAAGAGAAGCTGAGAAATACATTAGCTAAAATTAAGGTGGAGTTGTTGCAAATATGTCCTCTATGCTGCTTGCAACTTAATTTTCCCCTGTTTCGTCTTGGCTTGGTTTGTCCTTTTTGTTCCAGATATTGCAGGGTGCTTAGCCGATTTGAAATCTGGCCTTAGAATTTGAGAAGTGTTTAGGGTGGCCAGATGCACGGGAGTCCAGAAATATCCAAAATATTCCAAACCAAAGGCAACTTTCTCAACAAGAGAGATAGGAGTGCAAAGAGTAACAGAAAGAAAAAAAGAAGTAACATATTTCTAACTTAAGTAGAAAGCCAGACCTTATCAGGAAGAATTCTATAGCTCAGATGCTGTACATGTCCCAGAGGACCAAAACACT